CTCTTTCTCCTCATCTTGGAGTGCTCAAATTGATATTGCCGCGCAATTAATATATATGCTCGGAATGACTCGGAAATGGCTCGCGTGGCTCGAACATGGTTCGGACGACTCGAAAATGTCTCGGAAATGACTCGTCTTCCCAAGATCGAATAATGTGGACCTAAACAACATCAAAAAGACAAGAAAAGTACGCCGAACCACAATAACACAATACGAGAATAAAAATGCACAAAACATGATAAAATGGACCAGTTGACACTAAAACGAACCTAAAAACACTAAACTCAAGCACATAAAACACACAAAAATAAGCACAAAAACACAATAAACAGAGGCTCGCGGCGTGGCAACTTGGGACGTGAAAATCTGCTGTATAAAGTGATCAGGCCTGCTACTTGCTTCCTCCATCCGAGCTTCCTTCATGCGAGCTATACGGGCCCGGTTGTAAGCGTTCTTCAGAACACGACCTTCATTCTCATCAGGTACTTTGGACACCTTGGTTTTCCCAAAGGTGAGTGTCTCGGTCGACAGCTCGCCCTTAGTGAAAGAGCCGTCGCCATACTGGACCTCGTAGGACAGTACTGATCAGGTGGCTCACTACAAGGGCTTCCCAGTGGGCCCAGAAGATAGCAGAGGTGGTCGTAGCAGTACCAAGAGCAAAGGAAGAGGATTGTGTAGGGTTGAAGATGCGGTCGAGCTGTTGGTGGCAACTTTCGCAGTGGAGGCACTTGAGCCAGGTGAGGTCGCTGCCAGTGTCGAGGATCATGTAGAAGGACTCAGCCGGGGTACCGACCCCAATGAGGGTGAAGTACCCGCCGATGCCCTGCGGGAAGCCAGAAGTTATGGGGCTACTGAAGTTTTCGGTCCGGGCAGCAATGACCGTGACCCGGATGGCATCGCGCTGGAGGCGGTTCAAGAAGAGGGACTCTGGGGTGGAACTGGAGTCCGGGAAGAGGTGGTCGACGTTGTGCAGGACGACAGTACTGCTGTATGTCATTTTGAATTCGGAATCAGAAAATTGTTGGGGCATGTCCCAGGAGAGGGTTTCTAGCTCTTGGGTTACGTCGGGGAGTGAGGTGGGGAAGAAGGCCTGGTGTTGGAGGGGCTCTGATGAAAATGAGTGGAAGAAGAAGAAGAAGAAGAAGAAGGAGAGCCAAACAGGAATCATGGGCAGTTTTTTGGTTTCCATTTTGCTTAAGAATGGAGATGGAGAGAGTGCTTTGTTTCCAGGCTATAAATAATGGTGAGGAAGGGTGCGTTGTTTCCAGAAGAAATAGTCTTCTTTGCAATATTAAAATATCTCATCATTAGTAAAATATATTATTAAAATTCTGTTAATTTTTTTTTTGGTACAGGGACCTTCCAGTTTCCGGATCCACAGGGGAACCGACTAATCCGGAATCGAGCCGGGTAGGACCACAAGGGCGGCAAAGCTCTCCCTCAAGAGTTTTAACACTGCTGAAGATGTTGGGCTTTTTTTTTAAGCAACAAATCTATATTATTTCCTTGAATTTCGAGTTAAATATATATATATATATATATATAATTGCTGGCAGATACATTAAATAAAACATTTAATAAAATCTCAATCATTTTCTCGCCTAAATAAGTTACCTTTGAATTTTTTGTTTTTTTTTTTATCAAATCTTATTAATACAAAACCATTACAATTTTGTTTCTACTTTATATTCACCTTTAATTCATTTGTTTTTAATAATAAATACATAATTAACCCAATAATCAATAAAGCTTCATCAAATTGAAAATTGATTCTCAAATAATATTTCAGATATTATTCTTAATACTTTATTAATATTTTGTATTTAGTAAATAAAACTGATTTTGATATTACTCTCTGGCTTAGGGGCTTCGGTTATCCGTCTTGCTAGGCCTTATGCAGTGGCGGGCGGTCGTTTCCGTGCCTGTGAGCTGGCTTTGGAGTTGGTTTGTTTGCTGCGCATCTGGATGTTTTCGGTGGGGGAGGTTGTGCCTTGCGGCTTAGTTTAGTTTGGTTTCTCTGTTTTTTAGTATTTGTTTCTTTTAGGTTGGTGTTTTTGGTTTGGGCGTTAGCCTCTGTGAACCCAAGTGTCACCTTATTATCCCTATGGGATCCGACACTCGGGTATTACCCTGTTGGGGTCTCTTTTAGTTGTTGTTAGTTGTTTTAGTTTCTTAGTTGGTTAGTTTGTTGCGAGCCTTATTCTAGCGTTGCTAGTCGGGATTCTAGGCGGTCTTCAGACCTGTCCTCCCACTTTTTCAGCTGTTGGCTGCTGTGTATTTAGCCGTTGGCTGCTGTGTATTCGCACATTTGTGCATTTTGATTTATAAAATTTTCTGTCGTTTTGGAAAAAAAAAGATATTACTCTCTAAAATTAATAATATACCATAATAAATAATGATGAAGAAAAATTATCCCGTATAACTAAAATTACAAATATAAAAATTGTTAGAAATTCACTATCTACAATAAATCAATATTTCACCAATTCTTATTTTGAACCTCAACCTGTAAAAAGAGAGAAAAATGTTATAATGATAAAAAAAAATCATATACAATAAAAATATCATCATTGTATACACAATATTAACCAGCCTCTTACTACAATAAACTGACTAATAAAAATTTGAACTGACTAATGCATCATTGAATAAAAACATCATCATGGTACACACAAATATCCTACACAAATTTATCTTAATACATTTATTACTATAAAATTTGAACCGACTAATAATCATTAATATATTTATCACAATAATCAATGGTCTTTATTCCCAAATCAAATTTAGTGTATTTATCACTTCTAATAAAAATTTGACAAAATAATTTTACAACAAAAACACAACACAAATTCCAGAACAGTAAAGAAATAGAACCAAAAATTTTAATTTCTTTAAAAAATTACTCGATAGTCAGTTAATACTATGAAAAATAAATAAATAATTTTCAAAAAGAGCATAAAAAATAATTCCATCAGCCTCTTACTACAATGAAAGACACTAAATCCTAAATTTTTGTAAACAAATCAGTCTTACTCCATTTTATAATATATGTTATTACCGACCCCTTTAATTTTGTATCATAAAATCTATACATATATAATTGCTAGCAACAAACTTAATAAAATTATTTAAGTTTTCCTCCATTTTTTGGTACTTTAGAATTAATTAAATATTTATATTGTTTGTTTATTTTATTATGTAACAATCACTACTAATGTTTGTAAAGTCACATTAAATAATATGGTAATCAAATTTTTTTTGAAACTATTCATTTAAAATAATAATAATAATAATAATAATAATAATATTATTATTATTATTATTATTATTATTATTATTATTATTATTATTATTATTATTGTTATTATTTTGTTTTAACTCATTAACCAAGTTTTCTTATCAACATCCTCCCTATATATAATTACCGAATGCTCTGAGCCTACGTGGCTGTTTCTGGTGCTTCGGAATCCTATTTGGCAAAGAATCATGCTTCGTAATTAGGTTTGGACAAATAATATTGATATATTAATAATTAATAATCTAGGTTCGGACATTCCATAAATACTATTTAGCTAACTTAAGTATTTTAATTTCATTTGTACTAATATAACCCTTTACTTCCTTTATTTTTTACTTATTGAGGCACTAAGTGACTAATATATCCCTGACTTTTGATTTGTTTCCTTCAATTAGCTATTGAATTGTAAATGTATTTTAAAAGTTGATAACTTTTGTATTTCTTATCGTTTTTACATATATAATATATCAAATTAATCATCTTTTGATGATCTTCGATTTGACATCCATATTGTGTATATTGAGATAAATAAATTATATTTATATTTATAATAATAAGAAATAAGTATATTTATTAAAATTCATTAGAAAAATAAAATTATTTCTCAATTGATAATATTTATGATTAATGTAGTTATATGTTGTAAGTTAAAAAAATATTATAATATAACACAGGTAAGTCGCACAAATAAAAAAATGTCATACTAAATATATAATAATATATATATTTTTATAAAAATTTATTTAAATTTTCAACTATTTTTTCTCATTAATTTTAGATTTTAAGAAAAAATTAGCAAGCACCCGTGTAATACACGGGAGTTGTATTAGTTTAAAAAATATAGTAGAAATGTGAAAGAACACGTGTCAATCCTATACAGTTTCTGAATCCCTCCTATATATTAATTCAGAACGCGCTGAGCCTACGTGGCTGCTTCTGGTGTTTCGGAATCCTATATGGCAAAATTACATGCTTCGTTATTAGGCTTGGGTAAATTTTAATTTAATTCCAAACCAAACATAATTAGGTTCGGATTACCATAAATATGTTGATTATTTATGGTCATGTTACATGTATTAATTGTATTTTAATATCATTCCTTATTATAACTATTGAATTGTATATATATTTTAAAAGTTAATAACTTTTGTATTTTTTATCAGTTTTACTATGTAATATATCAAATTAATCTTCTTTTGATGAGCTTCGATTTAACATCCATCTTGTATGTATAAAAAATAATTTATATTTATCTTTATAACAATAATAAAATTATTTTTAATATTAATTAAAAAAATTATTTATCAACTAATATATTTATATTTCAAGTAGTTATGATATAAGTTATAAAAACTAATATAATATAACACATGTAAGTCATAAGTAACACATATTATTCTAAAATATATAGTAATATATTTTTTCTTGTAAAAAAGTAAACTAAATTTAATATAGTTTTCTCATTAATTTTAAAATTTAAGAATAATTTTTTAACAAGCACCCGTGTAATACACGGGTGCTTGTACTAGTTAGCTAATTATATTTTAAAATTTCATGCACAATTGTAATAATAACAATTTTAATATTTTTTTATCTATTCAATTGTTCAAAATCATCAAAGATTGCAAAAAATATATTATTGCAGTCAATATAAAGATTGATATGTAAGTTAATAGTTTATATTTATATTGTTTATTTTTATTCCTGATAAAATTTATAAAATCTGATATGCTCATTATCTAACTTATGAATTTAAATATCACATATACACGCACTTAACATATAAAATTTTATTTGTATTTGTGCATGTGCACAGGCTAGAATACTAGTTTGGAAAATGCTACAAGTACATAATAAATGTACATAAAGTTATACATAACACTCACATAGAGTGGAGTCCACATAATTTTTTATTTTTGGTGGGTCCCCTCAATGTGAGTGTTATGTACACCCCTATGTATAATACTATGTACTTATAGCATTACTCTAAATATTTATATAACTTCTCTACTTTTTTTTTTTAATTTAATTATTTTTTAATGAAAACATAACTCGTACACACCGGTAGGTCATTTAAATATACTAAGCATCAGATAAAGTTTAAATTCAATAATATAAAATTATAATTTATCATCGATCAGGTCATTTAAATATACTAAGCATCAGATAAAGTTTAAATTCAATAATATAAAAATTATAATTTATCATCGATTGTGAAAATGTTCGTACATTATATCTTTGCCATTAACTATATTTTTTATATATAATAAGCATCAGATAAAGTTTAAATTCAATAATATAAAAATTATAATTTATCATCGATTGTGAAAATGTTCGTACATTATATCTTTGCCATTAACTACATTTTTTATCTGACAACGAAATTCAATTTGGGTAGTAAGACGCTTCGCCTATGACCCACAGGTCATGGCTACGAGTCACCGTGAAAACGAACCTGCAAACTGTTCCCCTCCTCCCTGATTCTGCTTCTGGGCCGAAGGCGTGGTACCTGATGGGTCGACAGTCCCTTCCTCTATGATGCTTTAGCCTTCTCTAGCTCGGTCGTGCCAGACGGTCGAGACTCTTTAGCTCGCGGGCGATGGTTTCGAGGTGGGCTCCGGTGTTATACGACAGCTGCCGGGGCCGAGACAAGTACTTGGCTTTGACCTATGTTCTTCTTCGTGCCCTGATGTTGTGTTTGGATGGGTCCTCCGGTGGCGACTTCCAGTTTGGTTCAAGCAGCTTCGCGGCCTTCGGTTTATCTTGGGGGTGGAGTCAAATGTGGGTTTTTAGGTGTAGTACCGGTTTGTGGCCACTTGGTAGGTTGTTGGTTTCTTCGGCTGTGTGTGGGTTGTGGATTGGCTTCAGTACTGGTGTGTTTATGTGGG